GGAATTTTCTCATGCCTTGTCCAAATACCCACACTTGCGGTCTTGTGTTGAATCAATCCGATAACAATATCACGTTCTCAAAATCACTTATGGCAAGGCATCTAAAATATTTAACAATCTTGAGTCTATTGTTAGCTATCTTTAAGAGACTATTTTTTCATTAATTACATTTTTTTCTCCCTCTTTGTCAACGACATATTCATTTTGTGTAGCTTTTCTAACTTCATGTGATGATGTCCGTTTGCCCCGTTACTTCATAACAATTGTAATTTTTTTCAATTCCAAAAAAAAAAAAAAATCACTTATCGCGATAGCTCGTGAAGACCGTTGCAGACCGCCGTCAGCCATCTTGGTGAGTTTCTTCACAAAGTGAGGGAATTTTCTCATGCCTTGTCCAAATACCCACACTTGCGGTCTTTGCACTTGACTACTTATATGACATATTTCCTGTATTTGGCCCAAGTTTTCAAGTGAGCATGACGACCACAAGTGTGTGTCGAACTTTTCATTACCTGATGGGACACACTTACAGTATAGTGTTGTAAAAATGCAAGTGTTTACATAGCTTTATTTTAATGTTAAATACTTTGCATTTTAAAATCAACTTCTAAATGTCTGTTCAGTAGTCCCTATAACATGACATAATTTAAATTTGTGGTGCTTCTAATTAAGTGATAAAAAGTGTTGTACAAAAATAAATATCACCACTACTCATCTTTGCACCAATAAAATGTAAAAACACTGTTTTTCGTTTTTCGTCAAATCCTTTTCCTCTCCCATTATTAGCATTAACTCTTTTTCGCACAAGTCAAAAACAATCTCAAGCGAGCGTAAAAACGTTTTTTGCGAATTAAGAGATTTTTTTCTCTCAAAATTTGGCATTTCCATCACTCGTTTCTGATGCGATACTTCAGGCAAATCCTTTTCCTCTCCCATTATTAGCATTAACTCTTTTTCACACAAGTCAAAAACAATCTCAAGCGAGCGTAAAAACGTTTTTTGCGAATTAAGAGATTTTTTCTCTCAAAATTTGGCATTTCCATCACTCGTTTCTGATGCGATACTTCAAAATGTGCATGAAAACATAGCTACTGTACTTCTATCTCCTCACAGCCTCGTTTTCATTCTTGTCAAGAATAATACATGGCGCTACCCTGAATAAGGTCTGTGCTATATTTCTATTTCCTACTAAGTAGGGTCCTTTTATCTACTTTTTGCAATATTCAGGAGGCAGTGTAGTGTGGAGTTCACTACAGGTGTATAATAATGAAGAGGGGTTGAATTACATAACACCAAATCTCATTTGTATACCAAAAACGCACTGCAGATCTTATATGACCACATGACCGTGTCTGAGAAAGACTCTTGCCTCTAAACCCTTACAGGGCTCTTGTGAGATTCTGCACTTTGACAAGCTTCATCAAATGCATAAGATACAGATTCTGATGACTTTAGCAAGAGTCCATATGAGAAATCACATCCTCTTTATGTTATCTCTCGTCCTTCCCTGTTCTCGTGAAATTGCAGTCAGCGACATGGAGAACACTTTGTCACTGAAGCCTAGATAGAGTGCAGACACTGCAATCTCGTTCAAATCAGAGAGAGCCAAACTGTACTTCTATCTCCTCACAGCCTCGTTTTCATTCTTGTCAAGAATAATACATGGCGCTACCCTGAATAAGGTCTGTGCTATATTTCTATTTCCTACTAAGTAGGGTCCTTTTATCTACTTTTTGCAATATTCAGGAGGCAGTATAGTGTGGGGTTCACTACAGGTGTATAATAATGAAGAGGGGTTGAATTACATAACACCAAATCTTATTTGTATAGCAAAAACGCACTGCAGATCTTATATGACCACATGACCGTGTCTGAGAAAGACTCTTGCCTCTAAACCCTTACAGGGCTCTTGTGAGATTCTGCACTTTGACAAGTTTCATCAAATGCATAAGATACAGATTCTGATGACTTTAGCAAGAGTCCATATGAGAAATCACATCCTCTTTATGTTATCTCTCGTCCTTCCCTGTTCTCGTGAAATTGCAGTCAGCGACATGGAGAACACTTTGTCACTGAAGCCTAGATAGAGTGCAGACACTGCAATCTCGTTCAAATCAGAGAGAGCCAAAGGGTCTACTGTGGTACTCACAGAGGGAAAAAATCTCTGCCCTTCATTCACTTTCGACAAGCGTTTGGAAAACAATCACAAATGCACTTGACTTTAAGGCAAGTGATTTGACAGTGCTTGTGAAGTCACTGGGTCAGTCGGGCTACTCCATCACAGACCAAATTACAATCCATTTAACATTTTCCCTTTGCCTACACAGCCTGACACTTCCAAGAATTCTTTCCCAAGCTGTATCCCAATAGTCAAGCAATCATAATGTTAATGTTTATAATGTCTAAAGGAAGAGTTAGTTTCTTCATCTGAACAGATTTGGAGAAATTTAGCATTATATCAATTGCTCACCAGTGGATCCTCTGCAGTGAATGGGTGCCGTCAGAATGAGAGTCCAAACAGCTGATAAAAACATCACAATAATTCACACCACTCAGTCGATTAACATCTTGTGAATCGATAAGCTGTTTGTAAGAAACAAATCCACCATTAAGACATTTTTAACTGTTGCTTCCAACTAAATAAAATTTAGTTTTACCCATAAAATTGCTTTCTCCAGTGAAATATCAAGCACCATTTGCAAGCTAAAGCAGTCCTAAACAGTTCTAAACAAATATGTTGGTAGATTTTGATGTGAGAATACAACATTGACTTTTTCCAATGGAGGAAGCACTATTATGACTGGATTGTGGATACCTTACAGTTGCATTTATCAGATTACAGCTGGCCGATAATATAGTTTACATTTTGTGACAATACAAGCAATCAAGCAGTTGACATATGCTATATATCACTTTATGTGAGTAGAGTGTATGTACGCAGGCTACGCAGGTAAAGGTTTTTACTACTGTAAGCTACAGCTTTTAATGTATGTGAATAGAGTGCTGCAGTTGTGACGTCAAAACCCAGAAGACTAATTCGTCTCGAGTTCCCTTGAGATTTTTTCTATGGGTTTTTATAAAGGGGTTTTTCAATCCATGAATAAAATATGGTCTGTGCTAAACTGCACACACTCACACCCCAAACCGTCTTATGTATTTACTTATTACAAACATATGTTTTCAAAAATAAACATAACTACTTAAAAAAATGCATGTTTTCAGTATGGGTGTGTGTAATTTACTTTGCAAAACGTCCAAGTATCATGAATTTATATTTACCACAGATCTTGTTTTACTAATAAATTGAAAAGTCCCATTATAAAAACCATAGGAAAATCAGATTTTGATGTCATGGCTGCAGCACGCACTGCAGATCTTATATGACCACATGACCGTGTCTGAGAAAGACTCTTGCCTCTAAACCCTTACAGGGCTCTTGTGAGATTCTGCACTTTGACAAGTTTCATCAAATGCATAAGATACAGATTCTGATGACTTTAGCAAGAGTCCATATGAGAAATCACATCCTCTTTATGTTATCTCTCGTCCTTCCCTGTTCTCGTGAAATTGCAGTCAGCGACATGGAGAACACTTTGTCACTGAAGCCTAGATAGAGTGCAGACACTGCAATCTCGTTCAAATCAGAGAGAGCCAAAGGGTCTACTGTGGTACTCACAGAGGGAAAAAATCTCTGCCCTTCATTCACTTTCGACAAGCGTTTGGAAAACAATCACAAATGCACTTGACTTTAAGGCAAGTGATTTGACAGTGCTTGTGAAGTCACTGGGTCAGTCGGGCTACTCCATCACAGACCAAATTACAATCCATTTAACATTTTCCCTTTGCCTACACAGCCTGACACTTCCAAGAATTCTTTCCCAAGCTGTATCCCAATAGTCAAGCAATCATAATGTTAATGTTTATAATGTCTAAAGGAAGAGTTAGTTTCTTCATCTGAACAGATTTGGAGAAATTTAGCATTATATCAATTGCTCACCAGTGGATCCTCTGCAGTGAATGGGTGCCGTCAGAATGAGAGTCCAAACAGCTGATAAAAACATCACAATAATTCACACCACTCAGTCGATTAACATCTTGTGAATCGATAAGCTGTTTGTAAGAAACAAATCCACCATTAAGACATTTTTAACTGTTGCTTCCAACTAAATAAAATTTAGTTTTACCCATAAAATTGCTTTCTCCAGTGAAATATCAAGCACCATTTGCAAGCTAAAGCAGTCCTAAACAGTTCTAAACAAATATGTTGGTAGATTTTGATGTGAGAATACAACATTGACTTTTTCCAATGGAGGAAGCACTATTATGACTGGATTGTGGATACCTTACAGTTGCATTTATCAGATTACAGCTGGCCGATAATATAGTTTACATTTTGTGACAATACAAGCAATCAAGCAGTTGACATATGCTATATATCACTTTATGTGAGTAGAGTGTATGTACGCAGGCTACGCAGGTAAAGGTTTTTACTACTGTAAGCTACAGCTTTTAATGTATGTGAATAGAGTGCTGCAGTTGTGACGTCAAAACCCAGAAGACTAATTCGTCTCGAGTTCCCTTGAGATTTTTTCTATGGGTTTTTATAAAGGGGTTTTTCAATCCATGAATAAAATATGGTCTGTGCTAAACTGCACACACTCACACCCCAAACCGTCTTATGTATTTACTTATTACAAACATATGTTTTCAAAAATAAACATAACTACTTAAAAAAATGCATGTTTTCAGTATGGGTGTGTGTAATTTACTTTGCAAAACGTCCAAGTATCATGAATTTATATTTACCACAGATCTTGTTTTACTAATAAATTGAAAAGTCCCATTATAAAAACCATAGGAAAATCAGATTTTGATGTCATGGCTGCAGCATTTTATAAAGTTTTATATATATATATATATCTTTGCATGAGTATAGTTTATGTAGGCAGGTAAAGATTGAACTATATGTGCAACTTTTAATATATCACTGGTCGATAATATAGTTCACAGTGTTCAACCCATTTTTTTTTTAATACAAGAAAACCATTAGGAACTGTTTGGGTGCATCCAATCCATTTAAATGAGGATTAAAACTGTCCTTATTTGTCAATGCATATCAGCAATGTGTCAATGTGTTGCCAAAGGGCAAATCTACTTCAGCACAGATGTCAAAGACATGGCAGCTATAAAAAACTCTGGATTATTACCCAGAGTTAGTTAGGAGAGATGGGTAAGCCAATGGATGTGAGAGAAAGAGTAGGTGAAAGTGGCTCAGAGGCCTAAAAAAGGTTGTAGGAGGCAGAGAAAAGAAAAGAGAAAGTGGGGGAGGTAGAAAAAAGTCAGCAGGTAGGATAGTATCAACAATGAGAGATACAGAGGAAAAAAATACACCTTAATACATTTGGGTGCAAATGAGCAGCATTTTATAAAAAAACACGTCCGGAATAGTAGGACGAATCTACGTGAATGGGGCTTTTGCATTGATAAACAACTAGCACACAGCAGCTCTTCATTTCTTCTTTACTACTGCTGCTGCCTCAGCAACTGCTGCCTCGGCTTCTGCCTTCAGTCTTTCCTCACGCTCTCGGAGAAACTCCCCGTACTCTTCTGGTGACAGGCTGACAGAGGGATGACAGGAGAGGAGAGGGGGAGCATCGTGAGAGTGACAGAGGAGGGAACAGACAAAGAAGACGGAGATTAGAGGCATATCAACAGATACATCTACATTACATTAGAATTTCAAACATTTCTAGAGATCGATTGAAATGCAAGGCGAGCATTGCTCTTCCCTCATGCACAAATGATGGGTCTGGGCATTTATGCCTTATTGACATGGTTCATTTATTAAAGAGGTTCGGTTTAAGAAAAGACAAGACTCTGCTAACAGAACAGGCTGCTTTTTTTGCCTGTCTAAATGTTGCCAAATTTCAATGGCTCAATGACATTTGATGTCACAGAGACTTGAGGATAGAAAAGGCTCTGGTAGCTGTCAAGCAAACACACCTCTAATGAATATTCTCAATAAATATACTAGCAGCATCCCTTACAATTTCTCAGCATCATTAAGGCATTAATTATACAAAACATGAATTTTATGATTCATTTTTAAAAGGCTGCATATCAAGCTCAATTCTCAACTGTGAGAAATGGCATAAAATTACAAATGAGCATAAGAAACGAAGTCATTATCGGTGAGCATGTGAAGTAAGACTTGATTTATTCAGCCATTATTTATTCAAATCTCTTATTAAGGTCTTTAGGTGGTGGGATGCCTGCAATATTTATACAAGGAAAAGATGGATGCTTAAAACTCACATAGGGACCAGACAAGCAGAAAACACAAAAGAAAGTGTAAATGCTTGAAAATAGTTTTGTATATAAATCATTCCCACGCATGTATTTTTGTCATAAAATTTTTTTTTTTTATTAGATTTGTTTTTAAAGAGATATACTAGTTACCATTCAAAAATCTGGAATTGGTAAGATTTTTAATGTTTTTGAAAGAAGTCTTACCAAGGCTGCACTATTGTTCACCAAGGTTTTATTTATTTGATCAAAAGTACAGTAATATCATTACAATTTAAAATAACCGTTTTCTATTGTAATGTATTTTACGTTTTTAATAAATGTAATTTATTCCTATGATGCAAAGCTGAATTTTCAGCATCATTACTCCAGTCTTCAGTATCACATGACCTTTCAGAAATCATTCTAATATACTGATATGCTGCTCAAGAAATATTTCTTCTTATTATCAATCCTTCAATCAATTCTTCTTATTATCATCACTGTGTAATGTTTTTTATGAAAACTGTAACAAAACTAACAGTGTCTTGACCATCACTTTTAATCAACTTAATACATCCTTGATTAATTAAATGATTAATTTCTTTAAAAAAAAATTACTGATCACTTTTGGCAGTGTTTGTGTATATATATACATAGAGAGAGAGAAATGTTTTGGCTATTACATAATTATTTAATTTTTTTTATTATTCTGTAAAAATGGTAAGAATGAGTTGGTGTATCCAAACATTTGATTAAGTATTGTATGTTGTGAGGAATGCAGAAGAATGAAGTTTGAAGGACTCTCACTCATTGACAACTTTGATGCCGAGGGATCTGGCTGAACCGATGATGCTCTTGACAACATTCAGCATAGAGGTGTCTCGCAGCGTAATGCTGGCATCCTGTGATTTGGCCAGTGCAATCTCATATACGGCCCTCGCCGTCACCATACCTGCAATCTCATGCCCTGAGTGGAGGAACAAGGCGGGAGGGGAAAGAGAGGGGTGATGAAACACAGTAGCACAAAAAGAGAAACCAGCAGGAGATATGGTTGGTCATGATTGAGAAAAATGGAAGTGGAGATGGAGTGAAGGGAAGAAGTAACGGAAAGAGAGGGGAAGGGGAAAGAGTGGGCGCATAAGAAAGAATAATTGAGGTGGATTGAAACGTACAAAAATGAAGCAAATCCATAATTCTCTTTTTTTAACATGCCACCTTCACCGCAGCGTTCCCCTTAGTAATTGCCTAGCTCTTTACCAGGGCAGCTCATCATCAATATATCATCAGTCAAAAAATTCAATCTGAACCAAAACACCCTGCAGGAAGAAGTCTGTCCATTACTGAAACATAAGGTGGTGGCGAGATTTACAATTAGACTGCTGAGAAATGGAAGGAAGGATGTATGGCCACTGCTGCACTGGCTTTAATAGGTCTTGCTTACCAGTCTTTCCGGCTCCTTTTTCAATGCCGGCGGCCTGTTTCAAAAAGTAAGACACAGTGGGCTGCCCAATTTTCAGGTCATACGTCCTGTCCGACTGGAGGAAAGAAAAAAGGGGTCATTTTGGAAAAAAAATTTAAATAAATTAAATACAAAGGTTTGGGGTCAGTAAGATTTTTTTTCATGTTTTTAAAAGCTTCTTACACTCACCAAGGCTGCATTTATTTGATCAAAAATGCAGTAGAAGCCATAATATTAAATATGAAATATTATTACATTTTAAAACAACTATTTTCAGTTTGAATATATTTTAAAATGCAATTTATTGCTGTGATGGCAAAGCTAAATTTTCAGCAGCCATTTCTCTAGTTTTCAGTGTCATGATCCTTCAGAAATTATTCTAATATGCTGATTTGATGTCCAGTTATTATCAATTATTATTGGTGCTAAGATATTATTAATGGTTCTTATTATCATCAATGCTGAAAACAGTTGTGCTGCTTAATATTTCTGTAGAAACTGATACATTTTTCAGGATTCTTTGATGAATAGAAAGTTCAAAAGAACAGCATTTATTTGAAATCTGTAACATTATAAATGTCTTTACTGTCACTTTCGATCAGTTTAACGTGTTTAACAGTTTAAGTATTAATTTATTTGTTTAAAAATTCTTACTGAACTTAACCCTTTGAATGGTAGTGTATATATTTGTATCTTTGGCAAATTACGTTTGTCTAAAATGCTGTGACATAAATTTCCTATTCTAGTCTAAAACAGTCAGTCTCTATCAAGTTGTAAATGCTGCAGATTATTGCTTTAAATTGCCATTAAACTTTGCTTAAGTTCCCCATCTCGATTCTTCTCCTTTTTCCCAGAAGACTAATTCGTCTCGAGTTCCCTTGAGATTTTTTCTATGGGTTTTTATAAAGGGGTTTTTCAATCCATGAATAAAATATGGTCTGTGCTAAACTGCACACACTCACACCCCAAACCGTCTTATGTATTTACTTATTACAAACATATGTTTTCAAAAATAAACATAACTACTTAAAAAAATGCATGTTTTCTGTATGGGTGTGTGTAATTTACTTTGCAAAACGTCCAAGTATCATTAATTTATATTTACCACAGATCTTGTTTTACTAATAAATTGAAAAGTCCCATTATAAAAACCATAGGAAAATCAGATTTTGATGTCATGGCTGCAGCAGTTTATAAAGTTTTATATATATATATATATCTTTGCATGAGTATAGTTTATGTAGGCAGGTAAAGATTGAACTATATGTGCAACTTTTAATATATCACTGGTCGATAATATAGTTCACAGTGTTCAACCCATTTTCTTTTTAATACAAGAAAACCATTAGGAACTGTTTGGGTGCATCCAATCCATTTAAATGAGGATTAAAACTGTCCTTATTTGTCAATGCATATCAGCAATGTGTCAATGTGTTGCCAAAGGGCAAATCTACTTCAGCACAGATGTCAAAGACATGGCAGCTATAAAAAACTCTGGATTATTACCCAGAGTTAGTTAGGAGAGATGGGTAAGCCAATGGATGTGAGAGAAAGAGTAGGTGAAAGTGGCTCAGAGGCCTAAAAAAGGTTGTAGGAGGCAGAGAAAAGAAAAGAGAAAGTGGGGGAGGTAGAAAAAAGTCAGCAGGTAGGATAGTATCAACAATGAGAGATACAGAGGAAAAAAATACACCTTAATACATTTGGGTGCAAATGAGCAGCATTTTATAAAAAAACACGTCCGGAATAGTAGGACGAATCTACATGAATGGGGCTTTTGCATTGATAAATAACTAGCACACAGCTGCTCTTCATTTCTTCTTTACTACTGCTGCTGCCTCAGCAGCTGCTGCCTCGGCTTCTGCCTTCAGTCTTTCCTCACGCTCTCGGAGAAACTCCCCGTACTCTTCTGGTGACAGGCTGACAGAGGGATGACAGGAGAGGAGAGGGGGAGCATCGTGAGAGTGACAGAGGAGGGAACAGACAAAGAAGACGGAGATTAGAGGCATATCAACAGATACATCTACATTACATTAGAATTTCAAACATTTCTAGAGATCGATTGAAATGCAAGGCGAGCATTGCTCTTCCCTCATGCACAAATGATGGGTCTGGGCATTTATGCCTTATTGACATGGTTCATTTATTAAAGAGGTTCGGTTTAAGAAAAGACAAGACTCTGCTAACAGAACAGGCTGCTTTTTTTGCCTGTCTAAATGTTGCCAAATTTCAATGGCTCAATGACATTTGATGTCACAGAGACTTGAGGATAGAAAAGGCTCTGGTAGCTGTCAAGCAAACACACCTCTAATGAATATTCTCAATAAATATACTAGCAGCATCCCTTACAATTTCTCAGCATTATTAAGGCATTAATTATACAAAACATGAATTTTATGATTCATTTTTAAAAGGCTGCATATCAAGCTCAATTCTCAACTGTGAGAAATGGCATAAAATTACAAATGAGCATAAGAAACGAAGTCATTATCGGTGAGCATGTGAAGTAAGACTTGATTTATTCAGCCATTATTTATTCAAATCTCTTATTAAGGTCTTTAGGTGGTGGGATGCCTGCAATATTTATACAAGGAAAAGATGGATGCTTAAAACTCACATAGGGACCAGACAAGCAGAAAACACAAAAGAAAGTGTAAATGCTTGAAAATAGTTTTGTATATAAATCATTCCCACGCATGTATTTTTGTCATAAAATTTTTTTTTTTTATTAGATTTGTTTTTAAAGAGATATACTAGTTACCATTCAAAAATCTGGAATTGGTAAGATTTTTAATGTTTTTGAAAGAAGTCTTACCAAGGCTGCACTATTGTTCACCAAGGTTTTATTTATTTGATCAAAAGTACAGTAATATCATTACAATTTAAAATAACCGTTTTCTATTGTAATGTATTTTACGTTTTTAATAAATGTAATTTATTCCTATGATGCAAAGCTGAATTTTCAGCATCATTACTCCAGTCTTCAGTATCACATGACCTTTCAGAAATCATTCTAATATACTGATATGCTGCTCAAGAAATATTTCTTCTTATTATCAATCCTTCAATCAATTCTTCTTATTATCATCACTGTGTAATGTTTTTTATGAAAACTGTAACAAAACTAACAGTGTCTTGACCATCACTTTTAATCAACTTAATACATCCTTGATTAATTAAATGATTAATTTCTTTAAAAAAAAATTACTGATCACTTTTGGCAGTGTTTGTGTATATATATACATAGAGAGAGAGAAATGTTTTGGCTATTACATAATTATTTAATTTTTTTTATTATTCTGTAAAAATGGTAAGAATGAGTTGGTGTATCCAAACATTTGATTAAGTATTGTATGTTGTGAGGAATGCAGAAGAATGAAGTTTGAAGGACTCTCACTCATTGACAACTTTGATGCCGAGGGATCTGGCTGAACCGATGATGCTCTTGACAACATTCAGCATAGAGGTGTCTCGCAGCTTAATGCTGTCATCCTGTGATTTGACCAGTGCAATCTCATATACGGCCCTCGCCGTCACCATACCTGCAATCTCATGCCCTGAGTGGAGGAACAAGGCGGGAGGGGAAAGAGAGGGGTGATGAAACACAGTAGCACAAAAAGAGAAACCAGCAGGAGATATGGTTGGTCATGATTGAGAAAAATGGAAGTGGAGATGGAGTGAAGGGAAGAAGTAACGGAAAGAGAGGGGAAGGGGAAAGAGTGGGCGCATAAGAAAGAATAATTGAGGTGGATTGAAACGTACAAAAATGAAGCAAATCCATAATTCTCTTTTTTTAACATGCCACCTTCACCGCAGCGTTCCCCTTAGTAATTGCCTAGCTCTTTACCAGGGCAGCTCATCATCAATATATCATCAGTCAAAAAATTCAATCTGAACCAAAACACCCTGCAGGAAGAAGTCTGTCCATTACTGAAACATAAGGTGGTGGCGAGATTTACAATTAGACTGCTGAGAAATGGAAGGAAGGATGTATGGCCACTGCTGCACTGGCTTTAATAGGTCTTGCTTACCAGTCTTTCCGGCTCCTTTTTCAATGCCGGCGGCCTGTTTCAAAAAGTAAGACACAGTGGGCTGCCCAATTTTCAGGTCATACGTCCTGTCCGACTGGAGGAAAGAAAAAAGGGGTCATTTTGGAAAAAAAATTTAAATAAATTAAATACAAAGGTTTGGGGTCAGTAAGATTTTTTTTCATGTTTTTAAAAGCTTCTTACACTCACCAAGGCTGCATTTATTTGATCAAAAATGCAGTAGAAGCCATAATATTAAATATGAAATATTATTACATTTTAAAACAACTATTTTCAGTTTGAATATATTTTAAAATGCAATTTATTGCTGTGATGGCAAAGCTAAATTTTCAGCAGCCATTTCTCTAGTTTTCAGTGTCATGATCCTTCAGAAATTATTCTAATATGCTGATTTGATGTCCAGTTATTATCAATTATTATTGGTGCTAAGATATTATTAATGGTTCTTATTATCATCAATGCTGAAAACAGTTGTGCTGCTTAATATTTCTGTAGAAACTGATACATTTTTCAGGATTCTTTGATGAATAGAAAGTTCAAAAGAACAGCATTTATTTGAAATCTGTAACATTATAAATGTCTTTACTGTCACTTTCGATCAGTTTAACGTGTTTAACAGTTTAAGTATTAATTTATTTGTTTAAAAATTCTTACTGAACTTAACCCTTTGAATGGTAGTGTATATATTTGTATCTTTGGCAAATTACGTTTGTCTAAAATGCTGTGACATAAATTTCCTATTCTAGTCTAAAACAGTCAGTCTCTATCAAGTTGTAAATGCTGCAGATTATTGCTTTAAATTGCCATTAAACTTTGCTTAAGTTCCCCATCTCGATTCTTCTCCTTTTTCCTTAAGAATACAAAACTATCAAAATGACTTCAGTACTTTATATACACATAAAGGTTTACATGCATTTATATGGAAGGAGATAAGAGAAAATGCCAAAAATATGAAACAATATTTGTAAAATATGTCTAAAAATGATATAAATAAGTACAAATAAAGTAAATTTCCTGGGAAAAACCTGTTCTGTTCCATAAAACTAAAGTG